CTTCTGCACCGGCCCCGCCGCAGCCCTGACACCAGCCGGGCTCATTCCTCGATGCTTAGAAAGGGAGAAAAAGCGGCGTGTGCCCGCCCGAGTTGCTGAAAGGAGAGGTTTCGTCGAGGTGATGGGCTGAGAGTGGGTGCGCAAACGTGCGCGCCTGGCAGGACTCCGTCCAGAGTTAACTGTGGCGTGCAGGTGACACATCCCTGCGCCGGGAAACAAGCCTGCACCTAGACCCCGCGCGGACAAAGTCGTGGTTTTTTTTTTTTTGTATGGCGTTCAGATGAACGCTCTAAACCGCGCTTTGCAGGAGGGCAGTCCGCGTCCGGGCGCGTCGCAAGGCGCCTGGTTCCGCAGGACCCGCCGCGTCCAGACAAGCCGCAAGCCCTGCTCCCACACACCCCCTCTCCCCAAACCGGGGCTTAATGCTGGGCGCTGCGAAGCCTCGGGGAACAAAAATACCCGCACAAAACCTACCCTTCTGAAGTGTTAGCTCCACTTCCTTCTCTCAGATGCACCTGTGAAAACGGGTCTAAAGTTAGTATTGGGATTTGCCTCGCTCTCAATCGGTTCAGGCTAAGATCAGGAGAGATCCCAGTTAACCCAGGACAGTACAATAGCTTATTTTATATTGCAAAGCTGCTGTGCAGACTTTGCCCAAAGAATGTTGTGCGCTTTACTTTGACAATCCCAGCAGAAAAGAGAGACAGAGAGAGAGAGAGAGAGGAAACAAAGAGTTATGATTACCATTAGTAATTTAATCCTAAATTCGTGGGCCATCCCCATCAACCCGAACAAGCAAACATCAACACTTTTCTTTCTCATGCACATGTATCTGCGATAGATGATTAACCAGGTCCCTTGCTGCTTACACTGGGGAAAAGAAATACTGATAAACAGCACGGTGTCTGCTTGCAATTTGAGAAATTAACAATCAAGTGAGGGGAGGTAAGAATTAGCAAAGTGATGCCCTTTTTCTCCATCAGTGCCGACTGCCAGCCATGGGTGATTTCGGTTTGTAGGTTTGTTAACAAAACTACCATTTCAGACAACACATCCCACTAACGTCATGGGGTGAAAAGGCTAATTCAGGGGAAAATGTAGCAGTCAGCTTCCAAAACCGAGAAGTGCTTCTCGAAGAAGCAGCACCGTGAAAAATATATGAGAACATTTTTATTTTTATCAATTACCTAGCTCTGCTGTTTCTAAGAATTGGGATTGGAATGTCTCCCTAATACAATTCCCTTTCAGATGTCAAATCTCCGATTCAGGCAAAAGCCCTTGCAAACCATGTCCGTACAGGTATCTATATGCACCAATTTTAAGGGCGAGCTTTCAAATTTCAGTAGCTCAAGGACCTCCGCTGCCCTGATCTGGGTGGACACGCCGGATGGCGCTGCTCTGAAATGACACTATCATTTTGTTTGAACTCTTCCTGATTTTGACAGGGAGGCTGGGGGGGGGCGGGGGGGTGACAAGGTGGAAGGGGGAAGAAGTCATTCCTTAGTTGAAATTAGCCTTAAAAAACAAAAAAAAGATCTTAAAAAATAGAGAAGAAAAATGCACCACTTGAAAGCTGCTAAGCTTTTAAGCGTCGGGAGTGGGTCACGATTAAGCAAAAATTACCCGGAAGATTTCAGGGGAGAGAAGCGGGATGCGCAGCGGCGCGGCCAAGGCAGGCAGGCGGGTTCTGTGCCTCTCCGCGCCCTGTCCTCGCCAGGTGCCCGCCC